GGAACCCGAGCTGGAAAGGGGGAGCGTGCTGTCACATTGTGGGGATTGCAACCAATGTCACAAAACAATATGTGTACAAATTTTTGAATGAGAAATTAGCTTGAGCTGTAAACTTTCACCTCAAGCACAATAAAAAAATAAAGTGTCATTGTTCTTGGGTTCTGTTGATTCCAACTCATAGTGACCCCATATGGCAGAGTAGAGCCGCCCCATAGGGTTTCCTAGGCTATAATCTTTACACGTTATGGAAGTAGATCACTAGGTCTTCCTCCCATGGAGCAACTGGGTGGATTCAGCTGGGGGGGTTTGACCCTCCAACCGTTTGGTTAACAGCCAAGTGCTTAACCATTACACCACTAGGTCTTGGAGTAATGAGTAAATCCTTGGACAAACAGGAAGCCATCAGTAGCACGCACCATCTGCTGGGTTAATCGGGCCTTCCTGAAAAGGGCACGTGGTCGCCCCTTAGCTAAGTGGACAGAGCCTGGAGTTGTATTTCACAAGCCAAGTCCCCCAGAGAGGGAGGTCTGACATGTTTGTGGCAGAGCCATCATGTACTTCCTGCTGCAGAGGACTCAGCCCTAGGGGATCAAAGGGGAAGTCCTGCCCAGACCCCTTTTGTTCACTGGGAAACTCCCAAATCCCTGTCACCATGAAAAAAATCACGAGTGTCATGGGTGAAGAGTTCTAAGCGTGTATTTAATCTTTGCTCTTGCAAAGGTGCCTCTCCACCCAAGAATCACACTGCATAGTCCCGAATTATCTGCATTTTAAGGCAGATAATAAAAGTCCCCTGGTGAACGAGGGGAAACCCTGGTGGGGTAGTCGTTAAGTGCTGCGGCTGATAATCAAAAGGTCGGCAGTTCGAATCTACCAGCCGCTCCTTGGAAACTCGCTGGGGCAGTTCTACTCTAACCTATAGGGTCGCTATGAGTCGGAATCAACGGCAATGGGTTTGTTTTTTTGGTTTGGGAAACGAGGGCCACCGGCAATCAAGCACACTCCTGAGTGAGGCAGAGATGCTCTCGGAGTCTTTAAACAACCCCTAGGCATGAATCATTCATTTACTATGGCTGGCTGGCCTGAGAGGAACCGAAAAATGAAAATACTCACGTTGCTCATCAGCAAAGGGAAATACGCAAATGTTGAGGGTCCCTTTGTGCCTTCTCGTCAGAGCCACACTTTTCTGTTTGAATCTCTTAAGCAAAACACGCTTCATGCCCCCTTTAAGCTTCAAGCCGAGAGTTCTTTTTGAGCTTTTGTGCCAATTCCTGAGGATCTTCCTGGTGCTAGTAACGAGGGCCTCTAGAAAATAGAGTGTCGTCAGCATGGGCCACTTGGAGCAGACTTGGATCCATCATGTGATTTAATTCTCCTCGTAGACTCAGTTTTTTCTGCGGCAGCCTTTCTCAGCAGCACTGCTGTCAACATTTGACCGGATAATTATTTGTCATGGGGGCTGTCTTGGGCACTGCGGGATGTTTAGCAGGGTCCCTGGCCTCTCTACCTGTTAGTTGCCAGTGTACACTCCCTAATTGTGACAACCAAAAATGTATCCAGACTTTGCCTGATGTTCTCTGCGGGACAAAAATCACACACATATCCCTTCTCCCTTTGAGAACCACTGTTGTATAGGAAAGACGCAACACAAAATAACCTTTGTCCTAAATTAGTTGTGCGTTTAATAGATCCGAAGATTTTGCATGGAGTTTCTGCATGGTGCAACAGTTAACGAGCTCAGCTGCTACCCAAAAGGTTGGAGGTTCGAGTCTATGCAGAAGCACCTTGGAAAGAAAGGCCTGGCAACCTTATGAAAAAAATCAGCCATTGAAAACACTGTGGAGCACGATTCTTTTTTGTTTTTTAATTGTGCTTTACAGAGCAAATTAGTTTCTCATTAAACGATACACATAATGTTTTGTAACGCTGGTTGCCGTCATGGATTGAATTGTGTCCCCCAAAAATATGCATCAACTTGGCTAGGTCATGATTCCCAGTACTGTATGATTGTCTACCATTGTATCATCCGATGTGATTTCCCTATGTGTTGTAAATGCTATCACTATGATGTAATAAGATGGATTAGTGGCAGTTATATTGATGAGGTCTACAAGATTAGAGAGTGTTTTACGCCAATCTCTTTTGAGATATAGAAGAGAGAAGCGAGAAGCGAGCAGAGAGACATACCACCAAGAAAGCAGTGCCAGAAGCAGAGCACGTCCTTTGGACCTGAGGTTCCTGTGCTGAGATGCTCCCAGACCAAGGGAAGACTGATGACAAGGACCTTCCTCCAGAGCTGACGGAGAGAGGGCCTTCCCCTGGAGCTGGTGCCCTGAATTCGGATTTCTAGCCTACTGGACTGTGAGAGAATAAACTTCTCTTTGTTGAAGCCATCCACTTACGGAATTTCTGTTGTGGCAGCACTAGATGACTAAGACAGTTGCCAGCCTCATAACGTATTGGCCCTCTCCCCTTCTCGACCTTGGGTTCCCCATTCCCAGCTTTCCTGTCCCTTCCTGCATTCTCATCCGTGTGCCTGGGCTGATGTGCTCATTTAGTCTTGTTTTGTTTTATGAGCCTGTCTAATCTTTGGCTGAAGGGTGAACCTCACGAGTGACTTCAGTACTGGGTTAAAAGGGTGTGCAGGGGCCGTACTCTCAGGGTTTCTCCAGTCTCTATTAGACCAGTAAGTCTGGTCTTTTTTGTGTGTGTGAGTTAGAATTTTGTTCTACATTTTTCTCCAGCTCTGTCTGGGACCCTCTATTGTGGTCCCTGTCAGAGCAGTTGGTGGTGGTAGCCGGGCACCATCTAGTTGTGCTGGACTCAGTCTGGTGTGAGCTGTGGTGGTTGTGGTCCATCAGTCCTTGGGACCAATCTTTCCCTTGTGTCTTTGGTTGTCTTCATTCTCCCTTATAGAGCACAGTTCTACTCTGACACACACAGAATCACCACGAGCTAGAATCAACTCAACAGCAACTGGTTTTTACTGGTTAAGATTTTACATACATTTAACACCTGAGTGCTATTGGTGTGTTCCCTATGTGGCATGGACAGGTTTTATTCTCTTTGAGGGGCCTTCATAAAAACTCAGAATCTTCTCTCCCCTTGCTAATAATATTTACCTGATCTATTCAGTCTGCCCATTCATTCATTCATGCAGCAGTGTTCTCAGTGAGCTCTCAGCACCTGCCCCGGTGGTGAGCAAACATAACATCTAAATCAGGATTCCCACAGATTTGATAACTCATCTACCTTTCTCAACTTGTTTGATGTTGTTGTCATGGAGTCGGTTCTGACTCATAGTGACCCTGTGCACAACGGAATGAAACCCTGCCTGGTCCTGCACCATCCTCACAATTGTTGTTATGCTTGAGCCCACTGTTGCAACCACTGTGTCAGTCCATCTCGTTGAGGGTCTTCCTCTCTTTCGCTAACCCTCTACTTTACCAAGCATGATGTCCTTCTCCAGGGACTGGTCCCTCCTGATAACATGTCCAAAATACATGAGACAAAGTCTTGTCATCCTCGCTTCCAAGGAGCATTCTTGCTGTACTTCTTCCAAGACAGACTTGGTTGTTCTTCTGACAGTCCGTGTTATACTCAGTATTCTTCGCCAACACCATAATTCAAAGACGTCAATTCTTCTTCAGTTTTCCTTATTCATTGTCCAGCTTTCGCATGCATGTGAGGTGACTGAAAATACCATGGCTTGGGTCAGGTGCACCTTAGTCCTCAAAGTGACAACTTTGCTTTTTAACACTTTTAAGAGGTCTTTTGCAGCAGATTTTCCCAATGCAATACATCGTATGATTTTTTGACTGCTACTTCCATGGGTGTTGATTGTGGACCCAAGCAAAATGAAATCCTTGATAACTTCAGTCTTTTCTCCATTTATCATGATGTTGCTTATTGGTTCAGTTGTGAGGATTTTCGTTTTCTATAGGTTGAAGTGCAATCCATACTGAAAGCTGCACTCTGATCTTCATCAGCAAGTGCTTCAAGTCGTCTTCACTTTCAGCAAGCGAGGTTGTGTCATCTGCATATCGCAGGTTATTAATGAGTCTTCCTCCAGTCCTGATGCTGCGTTCTTCTCTGTATAGTCCAGCTCCTCAGATTATTTGCTCAGCATACAGATTGAATAAGTATGGTGAAAGGATGCAACCCTTACGCACACCTTTCCTGACTTTAAACCGCACAGTATCCCCTTGTTCTGTTCGAAGGACTGCTTCTTGGTCTAAGTACAGGTTCCGCATGGGCACAATTAAGTGTTCTGGAATGATAAGGGCTTACATATATGGAGGCACGACTGTATCTGACATGGAGGAACACAGTCCCTAGTGTCAGACAGACGTGGTTCCGCATCCTGCCTCCTCTGCTTACAAGTTGGGTGGCCTTGGAGTAATTATTGAGCTAGTGTGCCTCAGTATCCCTATCTGAAAATGGAGATGATATTGTCTACCTTGCAGGGTTCTCTGTGGCCTCAATGAGATCATGCATGTCAGCACCAGGAAATGATAACTTCTTGTCTACCAACTAGGAAGGTGTAATGTAAGAATTGCCATGTTCGTAAGTCAAAAACAGCCAAACATTGGTAAAGTCATAGAGTTCAACCTAATACATAAATGCTAGATCCAACATCATGCTGAATTCTCTCTGCTCTGTGGGGACCCAGTAGAGATGGAGTGATTCTGCTTTGTTTCCTATATTCCTGCCTCCTTTCTGGAGATGCTTCCTGCCCGCACAATTCAACGAACTTCAGAGAGAGCAAAGCCAGTCACCTCAGGCCTCAGCGTTCGCAGCCTGCGTGTTACAATACAAGCCTGAACTGTGTGGAATGCCCTCTCCCTAACTTCCTGCCGATTTGTGAGGCGAGAACCTGAATTTTAGCGGCTTCTCAGCTTGGGCGTTGGAGGGAGTGTTTGTTTTCTGATGTTTTCGTCTGTTCCTGGATAGCCCCCTTGGGGAGGGGTTTCTCTGACGTCTCCATGTTTACGTCTCAGGTTGCTCTGCTGATTGCCTTCACCTGCGTGAGGACTGCTGTGTGGACAGACTACAGCGCCTACAGCTTCTTTGAAGTGGTCACCATTTGCGACTTGATAATGATCCTCGCCTTTTACCTGGTCCACCTCTTCCGTCTCTACCGCGTGCTCACCTGTATCAACTGGTCCCTGTCGGTAAGGGAGCGGCCTGGCCCCGTTCACAGCCCCCCTGGGCCATCTGCAGAGGGTCTGAGGCGGACGTCAGAGTATTAGCTGGGGCACCCAGCCCCAGCGGAGCACTTCCCATCTGCCCACCTACCTCCTTGGCTGTCCTTCACTGCCTCAGCCCTGAGCTTCCCTCTGTTTGGTGGACACCTCCGCTTGATACCCTGCTGGTATCTAAAACTCACTCCTCAGCTCCAGGCAGCCTGTACCTCTCACTTCAATGTTTATTTTCTCAAGTGACAGAAAAATGGGCTGTGTATGATTGAGTTGGAAAGAGGAACATGGAAGAAAGTAACCGATAAGGAGGGTGGGTATTTATGTTCGTTAGCTAAAATGGGCGGACAGGGACTGAAGAGAGAGATCGGAGGTTGCCAGGTTTTTTCTCCCCACTATATAATGTTTTTAATGGCTTTGTTGAGATCTAATTCACATGCTATAGAATTCACCCATTCCAAGTGTACAATTCAGTGGCTTTTTGTATATTCAGTGTTGTGCGACCATCACAGCTTTAGAACATTTTCAATTTAGATCGATTTTAGAACATTTTCATCACCTCAGAAAGAAACCCCACGTCCCCATGTTCACTGCAGCATTGTTCAGAATAGCCAAAAGGTGGGAACCACCCAAGTGTCCATCAACAGATGAATGGGTAAAGAAAATGTGCAATATTTTGCACAATATTACTCAGCTAGAAAGAGAACTGAAGTTCTGATACGTGCCATGACATGGATGAGCCTTGAAAACGTGACGCTGAGTGACATAAGGCAGACACGAAAGGACAGACGCTGTCTGATCCCACGTGTATGACATCTCTAGAATAGGCAGATGCATGGAGACCGAAGTGTATTCGTGGTTACCAGGGCTGGGAGGACGGGAAATGGAGAAGTATTACTTAAGATGTACTGAGTTTCTGTTTGTAGTGATGAAAAACGTCTAGAAATTCACAGTGGGGATGGCGGCACAACGTGGTGAATGTCGTTAATGTCATTGAATTGTACACTTTATAATGATTAAAAATGGCAAATTTTATGTTGCATGTATTTTACCACAATAAAATTTAAAAAAAAGAAACTCCACACCCTTTCAGCGATCACTTTGTAGCCATCATTATACCCTCCTCCCCTCCAGCCCTACAGAACCACTCCTCTATTTTCTGTATATATACATGTGACTATTCTGGACATTGACTGTTCTGGAGCCCTGGTGGTGTAGTGGTTAAGAACTTGGCTGCTAACCAAAAAGTTGGCAGTTCGAATCCACCAGCTGCTCCTTGGAAACACTATGGGACAGTTCTACTGTGTCCTACAGGATCGCTATGAGTCGGAATCAACTTGACAGCAATGGGTTTGGGTTTTTTGTTGGTTTTTGGCCATTTCATATAAATAGAATCATATAATATGTGCCTTTTTGTGACTGACTTCTTTCACTTAGCATAATGTTTTCAAGTTTTGTCTATGTTGTAACATGTATTACTACTTCATTCCTTTCTATGGCCAAATAAAATTTCATTGTATGGATATATCATATTTTGTTTATCTGTTTATCAGCTGATAGACATTTGGGTTGTTATCCACTGTTATTAATAATGCTGCTATTAACATTCATGCACAAGTTTTTGTGTGAACATACATCTTCATTTCTCTTGGATATATACCTAAGAGTGGAATTGCCAGATCATATGGTAACTCTATTCAATGTTTTGAGGCGCTGCCAGACTGTTTTCCAAAATGGCTGCTCCATTTTACATTCCTACAAGCAATGTATGAGGGTTCCAACTTTTCAGCATCTTCGCCAACACTTGTTATGTGTTTTTGGATCATAGGCATCCTAGGGGGTATGAAGTGGTATCTCATTATGGCTTTTATTTGTATTTCCTTGATGGTTAATTATGTCAAGCATTTTTTCATGTGCTTATTGGCCATTTGTGTATCTTCTTTGGAGAAATGTCTATCACATTCTTTGCCCATTTTTCATTTGGATTGTCTTCTTACTGTTGAGTTCTTTATACATTCTGGATACTTAGACCCTTATCAGATATATGGTTTGCCAAGATTTTCTCTCATTCTGTGGGCTGTCTTTTCACTTTCTTGATGGTATCTTTTGAGGCACTGACGTTTTTAATTTAATGGAGTCTAATTTATCTAATTTTTCTTTTGTTGCTCATGATTCTGATATCCTATCTAAGAATTCATTGCTAAATATGAGGTCATGAAAATTTACCCCTATGTTTTCTTCTAAGAGTTTCATAGTTTTAGCTCTTATATTTAGACCTTTGATCCATTTTGAGTTAATTTTTGTATATGGTGTGAGGTAAGGATCCAACTTCATTCTTTTTCATGTGACTATACAGTTGTCCCAGCATCATTTGTTGAAAAGATTATTTTTCCATTGAATGTTCTTGTCACCCTTGTCAAGAATCAGTCAACAGTAGACATAGATTTGTTTCTGGACTGTCATTTCCATTCCATTGAACTTATATGTCTATCTGTATGTTATTACCACACTGTTTTGATTACTATTGCCTTGTAGTAAGATTTGAAATCTGAAGTGTGAGTCCTCTCACTCTATTCTTTTTTATGATAGTTTTGGCTGTTCTGAGTCTCTTGAAATTCCATAATATAACTAAAGGTTTGTCAATTTTGTCAATCTTTTTAAAGCATTAGCTTTTGGTTACATTAGTTTTTCTCTATTGTTATTTTATTCTCTATTTCATTAATTTTCACCTAATCTGTATTATTTCCTTTCTTCTGCTTGATTTAGGTTTACTTTGCTCTTCTTTTTCCAGTGTCTTAAGGTGAAAAGTTAGATTATATAAGTAAGATTTTTACTCCTTTTTAATATAGGCATTTACAGCTATAAATTTCTCTATAAGCATGCATTAGCTGCATCCCATAAGTTTTGGTATGTTGTGTTTTCATTTTCATTCATCTCAAAGTACTTCCTAATTCCACTGATTTCTTTTCTTTGACCCATTGGTTATTTAGGAGTGTGTTGTTTAATTTCCACTTACTTGTGACTTTTCCAAATTGTTTTTATTATTGATTTCTAGTTTCATTCCAGTGTGATTGGAGAACATACTTTGTATTGTTTCAATCATTTTAAATTTATTGAGGTTTGTTTTCTATCCTAGTATATGGTTTATCCTAGAGAATGTTCCCTGTGCACTTGAAAACAATGTATACTCTGCTATTGTTGGGTAGCGTGTTCTATAGATGTCTGCTAGGTCTAGTTTATACTGTTGTTCAAGTCTTTCATTTACTTGTTGATCTTCTGCTTAGTTTCTCTGTTCATTATTGAAAGTGAGGTATTGATGCTCCAACTATTATTGTTGAACTACTTATTTCTGTCAGTTTTTGCTTCATGTATTTTGATGCTGTGTTATTAGGTGCATATATGTTTACAATTGTTATATCTTCCTAATGAATTGATTCTTTTATCATTATAAAATGTTCCTCTTTATGTCTAGTAACGATTTTTGTTATTAAGCCTATTTTGTTTGTATTTGTATAGCTACTCCAGCTTTCTTGTTGTTATTCTTTGCATGATATATCTTATTCTATCCTTTCACTTTCAATTTATTTGTTATCTTTGAATCCAAAGGGTGTCTCTTTTATATCACATATTCTACTATGTTGAATCTTTTTTAATTTTGTTCCCATTTGACCATCTCTGCCTTTTGATTGGATTGTTTAATCCATTTACATTTAATGTTATTATCCACTATATTATTTTGAGAGAAATTTTTTTTTTTTTGCTCAGCCACACATTTTTTGCAGAGTATTCTCTAAATGGCTTCATGTTAAGACTCAAGTTGGTTTTCCCTGTCCCATGCCATCCTCTTCTTCCTTCATGGGTGGGCTTCTTAGAGGTGGAGAACTTTAGGTACTAATCTGCCCGTTAGCCACAATCTCTATGGTTCACCTCATGATACTACCTTCTAGTCACTAAGGGAGAAATCAGGGTCCTTGATTTTGCACAGCCTGGAGGGGAGCAGCAGTTTAACAGTGGGATGCCTTTCCAAAGTTTAATGGAGCCTGTCTGTTGGGCAGAATGTCACAATGGAATAATTTCTAAATTCTCATTAAAAACAACTGAAAAGGGATGGCTTTAATTCCTAATTCCCTTCTGATCTGTTTAATGTAGAAGGGAAGGGTGAAAAGGGAGCATTCCTATGTGCTGAATGACAGACCTTCATTGGTCTGTCCAGGGCCTGCAAAGATGCCCTTTTAATCATGGGGAGCAAATGAGGTGGAAATGGATGACCCCATGGTCCACAGCGAGAAGCAAAGGCAGAGTTGGCCCTGCTGGTAGACTTACGGATGGCAGGGCTTGGCCTGATATACAGTTCTGAAGAGAAGAGGGAATGACAGAATGAGGACAAAACCAGGAGGACTTAGGAGTGAGAAAGCCAGCTCCCACCACACACCCGCAGAACATTTCACAGCTGACCTCTTTTTAGGCTCTGACTCCAAGTCTGAGGGGGTCCAAGCACCTCTTGTTCCTCACTTGGGGCTGTTCACAGAATTGACAGACTCTCTGGTCAGCCACACAAAGCCAGCACATTGTCAGCCTGGAACTTTCTCTGAAGCAGAAGAAAAAGGTACACCTCTCTGTATGGGGCTTTGCTTCTGGGAGCTGGGGCTTCATTGAAACTCTCCAGCTGGGCAGTTGAGAGAGGCTCATTTGCTTTGGTCAGAGATCAAAGTACTGCCTACAGATTGATCTCAGGATTGGAGCTGCCCTTGAATGGCTGTCTCTACTCACACAAGACACTTCCTTTCTCTTTGTCCCCGTCCCTTCCTGCTTGCCCGCCATCTTTCTTCTCTCTTGCTTGGGCCTCTTCCTACTGCGTTTGCTGCCTGCGAGCTACGCTGCACCTCCTGTGGGCGTGTTGCAAGGAACAAGAGGAAGTGTCACTCTCTCCCCATCTTTGCATCTTCTCTGATGTCCGGTTGCTGTCTAAGAACCTGGAGTGGACCTCCCCACCCACGGCTCTGCTTTGTTTTCACCCCCAGGAGCTCCTGCATTATTTAATCGGCACCCTGCTTCTCTTAATCGCCTCCATCGTGGCAGCCTCCAAGAGCTACAACGTGGGCGGACTGATGGCCGGAGCGGTGAGGACGGTCTCTCGGGGAGCTTTCAGGAATGAATTTGTTTCAAGTGCTTGTCTTGTTCCTGATGGGGGAAGAGGAGGGGCTAGTTTCAGGGAACCTTTCTTCTGCAAAATCAGCACCCACCTTGATGCTACCATCTCCCGAGAGCCTTAAACCTGGGCCCACGATGGAGGATCTTGTCTGCAAATTCTAATGGTCCCAGCGGCCCAGGCTCTGTCTCCTACGGCCACCATTGGAATCGGCTGGTGAATTGGTTCTAATTCACATGCCCACTCTGATCATTTGCTCAGGGCTGCCTCAGCACAATGCAGGGGAAGATTCTAAGGTCTCTTTTAGGCCCAGGGGAAGGGTTCTGTGATCAGTTAGTGCTGTCTGCCATGAGTCCTAGCATTGCCATTCCTGGCTTTTAACAGTACTCAGGACAGCAAAGGCATCACTCCTATACTTTTCAGAGGTGAAAACCAATCCATCTGACGAATGAGTACAGGGCTGTGGGAGGCGTGTGTGTGTGTGTGTGTCTGTGTACTTACATTATATGCACACATATACATACACAGTTACATAGATACGTACATATATACATAGATGTGTGTGTATGTACTTACATTATATGCACACATATAGTTACATAGATATGTACATACATAGATGTGTGTATATATATGTGCATGTACGTACATTATATGCACACATATACATACACAGTTACATAGATATGTATATATATACATAGATGTGTTGTATATATGTGTGTATGTGATTTTTTTTTTTAAGAAGGTTCATAGAGGCCTGTCATCTGATTTTTTATTTTATTTCTGATTTAGCTAATTGTTTCCAGTTTGGTGGCCGTGGGCCAGTACTGATTTAACTGATGAACAGGCAAGATTTTTAACATGAGTTTTAAGCAAAGCTCTGAGTGGCAGTCACTATCTTTCACTTACCTACCATCCTGAAATTCTCCAGACTCTAGGCTGGGAGGAGAGGGTTGGCTGCCGAAATTCACTGAGGGCTGGAGTCTGTCCTCTGAAGGTCTGCACGTGGCAGAGCTTCACGGCACAGGGGCGTCCAGGCCTCTAAATGCTGATGCCCCTTAACTGCCTCCCAAGGCCCCCACCCACCCCCTGCTGTCTCTGAGGTCAGTGTTGGTGGCCACCCACAGGGCCCCATCTGCCCCGCCACAGGGCACGTGGTGGAAGGGGCACTGAGGAAACTCATGCCCTCTGTGCTTCAGGGGCCACACGGGGAGAGTCCCACTGGTTTTTATGATTCAGGCTGTATGTAACCGTGCTACCCTGGAATCCACCCAGTAGCGAGCATTAGTCATACATCATCCTTATGCCTAGGACCAAACCCGGGCCCTGGGGGAGGGTGGAAGAAATAAAAAATATAATCCTTGCTTATGAGAAAGTGGTAGTGTAGCTTAGGAGATGAGGCCAAGGCATGTGAAACCATTCGCAAACAAGGCAGCATCGTCTACAATAGCATTATGTAGCAATATAATAAACTGTTCAATTATGCAGGGCAGACAGTTGGAGACCAGGATGGTGTATAATGTGCCAATTGTACAGAACAGACAATGAGAGGCCAGGACAGGCTCTAATAGGCTAATTATGTGGTGGAAACAATTGGTACAAAGGGAGCCAAGGAGGGGAACTCGGGGAAGGAGAGATGGGTGTGGGCTGGTGGGGTCAGCTGTTCATAAGAACCAGCAGCCAAGCTTGAAAGAAAACAACCAACCTTGTAGAGAATCCGGCCCTTCGTCTGGCTGCTCCCAGGCCATTCCTGTTAGCTTTTAGCCGCTGAGTCCAGCTTTACCCCAGGGGTGGCAGAGCAGACCTGAGGCCTTTTTTGTGAGCCTGAGACCACCTAGACAACAAGTATAGCAGAGCGTGGACTCAGGAGCCAGGCTCCCGGGGCTCAGATCCCCTTCCTGCCCCTTGCCCATGTTTTCTGTGGCTGTACGCAAAATAATTGACTTCCTGTCCTCCTTTTCTTTAGCTGTAAAACGGGGGTGGGGTGATACTAGCACCCAGCTCGCAGTTGTGAGGGTAAAGGAATCAACAGACCTAGAAAGGGCTTAGGAGTTCACGGGTGATGCAAACATAACGCGCTTGACTACCAGCCGAAAGGTTGGCCGTTCGAACCCACCCAGAGGTGCCTCGGAAGACAGGCCTGGTGATCTGCTTCTGAAACGTCCATGGCCTTGAAGACCCTAAGGAGCAGTTCTGACATATACATGGGGCCGCCATGAACAGAAATCGACTCAGCAGCAGCAACCACCACCATAAAGGGCTTGACGCACTGGCTGGTACATAGTAATTAACGCCCGTGAAATTTTAGCTGCTCCAGCTGCCAGTGCTGTTCACAAATAAGGAAATGACTCCAGGCTTCAGAGTTCCAAAAAGACACCAAGGTTTGCACTTGCTTCTCCCCAGACCATTGGATGAGCCTCATGCAAGGCCCTCCCGCTCCCAGGGGGCGCTGTTCCTCATGTAGAAAGTGAAGAGGCTGCACCAGACCCCATCAGCTTTCCTCACACTGGATGGAGCCTGAAAAACGAAAAGAGCTCTACCATATCTTATTTTCCTTTACTATTATTTAAATATATGCAAAGGTAAAATGAGGTCTAAAGGCCAACCAGGCCACACTGTGGGCCAGAACAGATTTACAAATGACACTTACAAATGAAGCGCCAACAGTGGTACCCCAGTAAAATCCATTGTAATGTCAAAGTTTTTAAAACCTAAATTAAATTTTACAGTTCCCTCTTTTTCTTCTTTATTAGCCCAGCATAATTAAAGTACTAGCTTGAACCCAACTGGTTGTAAACAGAAAACCAAATATGGGATTGAAATTGCTTACTAGTTGATGGTTGCAAGGAAATCTCTTAGAACATTTAGATCAATAAACATTTTCTTTAAAGGCCCGGATAGTGAATATTTTAAGCTTTGTTAGCCATTATAGCAAGAAAGCAGCCACACACAAAACAGAAGCCAATGGGTGTGGCTGTATTCCAATAAAACTATTTACAAAAACAGATGGTAATTCGGCCCTCCAGCTGTAGTTGGCTGACCTCTGACATAGAAGATCCAGAGTATGCTTCTATTATTGCTTGTAGATTATCATAGAACTAATATCTACATATCATGTAGAACCGAAAACACAAAATTTAGAAACCCCTGTAGAGTCCTTACAGGGCCTAGACAAGCTCTCTGCGGACCCAAGACATACAGCAGGTGTGCTCTGGTGTGCCTGGACAATATTCAGATTCTCCCATACCAACCCCATCCGAAAGATCCCTGGTGGTACAATGGTTAAGCACTCAGCTGCTAACCGAAAGGTCAGCGGTTCGAACCCACCAGCCGCTCCGAGGGAGAAAGATATGGCAATCTGCTTCCGTAAAGATTTATAGCCTTGGAAATCCTATACTCTGTCCTATAGGGTCGCTATGAGTTGGAACTGACACAGTGGCAATGGGTTTTTTTTTGAACCCCCATCTGGGCCATGCCCCAGCCCCTCCCCTGGACCACCCAGCCCTCTTAGGGACCTGCGGTCGGCGACTGGGTCTCTCTGGGCCTCCATCTCTGCACCTGAAGGAGGATGAGGTGGTTGGATCAGATGACTCCCCAGGTTCCCCCTTAGCTACAGTCAGTCCAGGGGGACAAACAGAGAGATGAGCAACGGAAGGGACTGCCTGGCGCCTGGCCCTTCGGACTGTGGGTTTCCCCTCCTCTCTCCCGTGCAGATATTCGGTTTCGTGGCCACCACCCTGTGCCTGATGAACATATGGCTGTCCTACAAGATCTCCTGTGTCACCCAGTCAACAGGTGAGTCCCGCTTACCTGTCCCCAGAAGATCTCTGGAAGTTCCCTGTGCTCGGGAACAGGAGGATGGCTCGGTCTTGAGTTTAGCAATAGGGAGCGATCCTGCACTGAGGAGGCTGTGTTCAGGCCCAAGGCAGACTCAGAAGCAGCGTTAGAGCTCAGAGGCTGGGCAGAAGAAAAGGTAAACCCCTAAGAACCTCTGCTGTAATCTCTGCCTCCACCGTGCCCAGGGATGCCCTGAATTTCCAGCCCCTATGGCAAAGCATTTTCTTTTTTTAATTGTGGTAAAAATATATCTATCAAAACATTTGCCAATTCAACAACGTTTACATTCTTGATTCAGTGACCTTAAGGGATCTTGCTAAACGCTAGACGTTTTTCTGTCCATTTGGGGCAGTGGTGCAGGGTTGAGTTTTAGGTTAAAGATGAACACGTGCAGTTTTTATTTACATTTGCGTTTTCCTCCCTCCCTAGCTTTCTTATGTTCAGCACGTGCAACCATTATCACTGCCTCGTCCCCAGTTCCGCCGCCATGAACAGACACTCAGTGCCCCCTAAGCAAGAACTCCCCCTTTCTCTGTCCCTCTCACCCCGGTAACAATCAACGTTAGCCTTTAGTCATTGGCCTGTTCTAGGTATTTCATGTAAGTGGGATCGTACAACGTTTGTGCTTTGTGGGTGTCTTCCTTCACTCAGTGTAGTGTTCTCATGTCCATCCATGCTGTAGCACGTATCACGACTTCTGTTTACCACTGAGTAGTATTCGCTTGTATGAACAGACGCATTTGTTCATCCATCCGCTGGTGGACATTTCCGGAGTTTCTGCCTGTTGGCTATTGTGATTAATGCTGTAATGGACATGAGTGTGCAGAGGGCAAAGCATTTTCTTGAAATGATCTGCCTCCTCCTAACGACCAAAGAAAACGTAGAACATCTAGGAAATACAGATAAGAAAAAAAATTCTAAATAAAAACCATCTGTGAGTTGGAATCAACTCGACGGCAACGGGTATCTGTCGACAATCACACTGCGTAGAAACAGCATTTTGGTGTCTGTCCAGTATTTCCCCGCTGAAAATACATAATGCTGCTTTTATTAAAAAGATCAGATTTTGTGTGCTATTTTATAACCTGCTTTTTTTCCCCCCCTTACTTAACCACATAGCACACATTTTCCCCATGTTAGGGCTGCTTCTCCATCATTCTTAACAGTTCTGTGAGGTTCTGTTGGGTGATTGTGCCACAGTTTATTTAATTCTTCTATTTGGAGACATTAAGGTTTATTGCTGGGTTTTTTTTTTTTTTTTTTTGCTGTTAAACCGTGCTGTAATGAACATCCTTGAATCTAAGTCCCTATACACATCCCAGGCGAGACTACGTCTCACGTACTTTGGACATCCCTGATAAGGAGGGATCAGTCCCTGGAGAAGGACATCATGCTTGGTAAAGTAGAGGGTCAGCAAAAAAGAGGAAGACCCTCGACGAGATGGATTGACACGGGGGCTGCAACAGTGGGCTCAGACATGGCAGCGATTGTGAGGATGGCGCGGGCCCAGACGTGGGGTCGCTATGAGTCGGAACCGACTCGACGGCACCGAACAAAAACCGCATACATGTCCCTAATATTTTTTCATATTTAGAATAAATTCCTAAAAGGAGAATCGCTGAAGGCTTGACCTGTTGTTTTTATCACTCCACTTCTTTCTTTGATCCAGCACCTCCTTCCTTGGTGCTTTTTCTTTCTTTTAAAACATACAGTAAGGACATCCAGGTACATGTATCAGGGTGTGTGATATGTTGTCAGAGCTGCGCTGCAGGAAGGCAGAGCAGAGCCTTTAGTTGCCTCCTGGCGGTCACTGGCAAGAAGTTAAACCCGTTGCCCTCGAGTTAGTTCTGACTCATAGCGACCCTGCAGGACAGAGTAGAGCTGCCCCATAGGGTTTCCAGGGAGCGGATGGTGGATTTGAACGGCCAACCTTTTGGTTGGCAGCTGAGCTCTTAACCACTGCGCCACCAGGGCTCCAGCAAGATGTTAATAGGATGCTAAGTGAAAGAAGCCAGTCACAAAAGACCACCTATTATATGATCCCATTCACATGGCATGTCCAGAACGGGCAAATCTACCGAAACAGAAAGTCGCCTAGTGGTTGCTTAGGGCTGGGGGACTGGGACAGAGGGGGACACAGGAAACGGATGATAGCTAACGGGTACGGGATTTTTGTTTTGAGATGATGAAAATGTTCTAAAATCGACTGTGGTGATGGTTGCACACATCTGTGAATACACTAAAAACTACTGAATTGTCCACTGGCAATGGGTGCGTTCTATGGTATGTGAATTTTATCTCAGTGGAGGTATTTTAAAAAATACGAATGATAAATAAAAAGCATAAAATGGGCAACCAGAAGTTGGTAGAGAATGTCTGAAGCTGACAAATCTGTACACATTGGTTTGAATGTATTACTTAAAATTCCGGAGGAGCTTGCCAGCAGAAACAGCCGACGGAGCTAGAAGGGGTTACCTCAGAGGACGAAGACAGACGCGGGGGGGCTCACACTGCTGAGGTGGGAGGAGTTGGGGCAGAAGTCCCTTCTGCCCTATTTAATTTTTTTTTTAGACGTGTATTTCAAATGAATAAAGTAATTCCAAAGAAAGTTGGTGCTGGGTGAGGGGAAACACACTGGGCAGAGCTTGGGTGGGTTTCGGCCTTCTGGTTGGCTCTGAGTGGGCCCATCCCCAGCACGCTGGCCTAACCTTCCCCTTTCCTTCCCAAGACGCAGCCGTCTGAAGAAGCACAGCACCGGGCACCGCGGGAGACCTGCCGGGGGCTGGCGGGGCTCAGCGGACAGGAGGACCGGCAGGCAGGTGACCCGAGGAAAGGCTTCTGAACCTGTGTTCCCGTGCCAAAGTCCTGCTCTCTAAGGCCCGCTCGCTGGGCTCCTGAGCTGGTCCAGCCTTTTTCTCTGGTCTGTCCCTGCCAGCTTTTAGAACCGCCTCAGGGTCTGTGGTTCGAATCCACCAGCTGCTCCTTGGAAACCTTATGGGGCAGTTCTACTCTGCCCTATAGGATCGCTATGAGTCAGAACGACTCCACCGCAACAGGCTTTTCAGGTACCGAGGACCCCACTTAACACAAGGGAGGGGCTTCCGGAAACTCATGCACAAATCTGCTTCTACTTCACATTCCTCAGGGAATGAAAACAAAGCCACCTGTTAACTTACCTAGCTTGTCAGTCTGGTCTGGAAGATACCCGTCTTTCTTAAAGGAGGCATGCCTGTAGAAACACTATGTGGTCAGCCTGTCCCCAGATAGGAGATCCCAAGTCTCCGCCTTTGTTACCATTACGTGTGTGTATGTGTGTGGTTGTTTTTTAATAAAATATTGACTTGGCCAATTGCAGAAGGATTTCTCGTTAAACGAGAAGAAGAGTGTAAAACCAGGCTTGAAACGAAGTTTCTGGGTTTGTCTCGCACGGTGCCCTTAACCCCACACTCCGTGTATAAAACCAAAAGACCAAACTCATTGCCATCGAGCTGATCCCAACCCCACGTGTTACAGAGTAAAATGTGGATTCCTGGCTGTAATCTTGATGGGGCAGATCGCCAGGCCTTTCTTCTGCAGCACCACTGGATAGCTTTGAACCGTCAACCTTTAGGTTAGTAGCTGAGCACAAACTGTGTGCGCCACTCAGGAACCTTGCTAAACTCCCAGACTTTTTTTTTTTAATCTTATTGTTTTCAGTGAAAATTTACAGCACGCATTAATTTTACGTTCAAAAATTGTAGACACAAACTGTTTTGTGACATTAGTTGCAGTCCCAGAAATGTGTCTGCACGCTCCCCCTTGGTCTTCCCACCTGGGTTCTCCATGTCCATTCATCCAGTTTTCCTGTCCCTAATGCTTTCTCCTCTTTGCTTTTCCCCAGGTGTTGCCCATTTGGTCTTGCACACTTGATTGAACTAGGAAGCACGTTCCTCATGCATATTATTGTTTGTTTTGTACGCCTGTCTGATCTTTGGCTGAAAGGTGGACTTTGGGAGTGGCATCAGTTAGCAGGGTGCCCGGAGGCCATAGTCTCAGGGGTTCCTCTAGTCTCTGCCAGACCAGGGAGTCTGGTCTTTTTGTGTGTGTGAATTTGAATTTTGTTCTACGTCTTTCTCCCGCTCTGCCTGGCATCCTCTGTTGGGATCCCTGTCAGGGCGGGCGGTGGTGGTAGCCGGGCACCATCTAGTTCCTCTGGGCTCAGGCTGATGGAGGCTGTGAAAACTACTAGACTTTGGTTTTTCCCTCCATCTTGGGCAATGGTCATACGGTTGACTTTTAGGTTCTAGGTGAGGGTGTGCAGTTTTTAATTTATACTTACTTCTTTCTTCTTCCTCTACTGTAACATCAGTTTCCTCGTTCGGTGTGAAACTAGGAAGAGGCTTTGGAGGAAGTTAACGGTTGTGTTTACACTCTGACAGTTCATCTTCTCGTCCCAGATTTGCTACTTCCTCAGTCGCAACATTCATGATCACGTGGAATAGTGACCACAGTGCTCCTGGGCAGGAGTATCATGGCCATTTTACGGAGAAGAAGATTGAGGCTCAGAGGCTCCTTCTGAGCACAGGGTGAGCCAAGGAGAGCCAGGTTTCGAATCCAGGCCTGCCTGACTCCCAGCCCCCATCCTCCTCTGTAAACCAAAAGTGCTGAGGCCACTCCAGCTCAGCTGGCATTGGAGGATGCTGGGGACACTGGGGCCTCACAGTTTTCCAGTGGTGACTCCCTGGCCCTGGGCTACAGCTTTACCCGAGGGAGGAAATGTCTAAGCAGGTGGAGCAGTGCCATTCAGCTGCCCAGGTGGACACTAAGGTGAGAATAACAGGATGAGGGCCAGCCTCTAAATCCAGGTGTATTTAGTCAGAATTCTCCAGAAAAATAGAGCTGATAGGATAATTGGATAGATGGATGAATGGATGGATGATAGACAGACAGACAGATAAACCAAAAAACCCAAACCCATTACCGATGAGTCAATTCTGACTCATGGCGACCCTATAAGGACAGAGAAGAATTGCCCCATAAAGTTTCCAAGGAGCGCCTGGTAGATTTGAACTGCTGACCTTGTGGTTAGCAGGCGTACCTCTTAACCACTGCACCACCAGGGTTTCTGACAGATAGATAGATAGGATAAATAGATAAATGGATGATTGATAGGTAAATAGATGATGGATGGATAGATGGATGGATGAATAGATATTGACTTATTTTAAGGAACTGGCTCCTGCGATTATGGGGGCTGGCAATTCCAAAATCCATTGGGCAGGCGGCAATCGAAAAACTCTGGCAATCCTGAGTCTAAAATCTGTAGAGCAGGATTTCTATGTTACAGTCTTAACATAGAATTCCTTATTCTCTGCAAAACCTCAGTTTTTGCTCGTAAGGCCTTCAACTGATTGGATAAGGCCCACCCACATTATTGAGCATCATCGTTTTTACTTGAAGTCAACTGAGTGTAAATGTTAATCACATCTACAAATACCAGCCACATCTAGACTAGTGTTTGTCCAAACAGCCAGGCACCATAGCCTAGCCAAGCTGACACATAAAATTAACCAGCCCACCAGATATGAATTCTTCACAATACAGGTGGAAACTGGGACAGCTGATCAGACTCCCCCCCAAGAAATTGAGATGCAGTAGGTCTGAGTTGGAACCCAGAAATCTTCTAGGCCTCGCATGCAAAGTGTGGTTCAGCCACAGGGGCATCACCTGGGAGCTGGTTAGAAATGCAGGATTCTAGGCCCCACCCAGACCGTCAAGAGGTCAAACCCTCTGCATTGTAGCAGACAGCCCGTGTGCATGTCCACATTTGAGAAACACTGTTCTAATCAAAGATGCTTTAGGGGCAAGTGCAATTCTGAGGTCGATTTCATGATGGAGGGAGAGGTGAGCAATGGTGTCCGCTGGTAAGTGTTCTGGGTAAATTTGTTTCCTGTCGCTGGATCCACAGCTACATTAGGAAAAAGACTGCACCTCACCTGCCACCTGTCATGGCATTTTCGAAACCCTTGTCCTTTCCCAGGTCCCTGGGTGGTGTGAACGGTTTGCACTCAGCCACAGTCTAAATTATCTAGTGCTGCTATAACAGAAAGACCACAAGTGGATGGCTTTAACAACGAGAAATCTATTCTCACAGTCTAGGAGGCTAGAAGTCTGAATTCAGGGCACCAGCTCCAGGGGAAGGCTTTCTCTCTCTGTTGGCTCTGGGGGAAGGTCCTTGTCATCAATCTTCCCTGGTCGAGGAGGTTCTCAGTGCAGGGACCCTGGGTCCAAAGGATGCACTGTTCTCCTGGCTCTTGTTTTTTGGTGGTATGAGGTCCCCCGTCTGTCTCTCTGCTTGCTTCTCTCTTTTATATCGCTATCGACTTAAGACACAACCTAACCTTGCAGACTGAGTCCCGCCTCATTAACATAACTGCCTCTAATCCTGCCTCACTAACATCATAGAGATAGGATTTACGACACATAGGAAAATCACATCAGATGACAAAATGGTGGGCAATTACACAATACTGGGAACCATGGCCTAGCCAAGTTGACACACATTTTTTTTGGAGGGGGGCACAATTCCATCCATAACAGCTACTAACCAAAAGGGTGACAGTTCAAATCCACCCAGCAGTGCCATGGAGGAAAGGCCTGGCGCTGATCTACTTCCAAAAAAATCAGCCGTTGAAAATCCTGTGGAGCACAGTTCTACTCTGAAACACACAGGGTCGCCATGAGTCAGCATCAACTCGATGGCAACAGGTTTTGGTTTGTCCTTTCCCATGTCCTGGCTCCAGCCCTCAGAGGCCCCAGGGACCCCAAGGCAGAGGAGAGGTGTGGGAGCCGGCACTGGACGAGAAGCCCAGGGCCCGTGATGAAGGCTGGCACACCGTCTCTGGCATCTGGGGCGAGTCACATATAACCTCCCTGCCCCCCAGGTAACAGGTGAGAACCTGTCTGAGGTCAGGTATCACTGAGCTTGGTGAACGGAGGAGGGGCAAGCTCGTGGCGGGGTGCGGGGGTGGCTATGTTCCTGCTGCCCCGGGGAGGAGCAGGCGCCAAAGGCAGGAACCCCACGCAGTCGCATGCCTGAGTTTCTCACGGGAGGAGAGCAAAGGATACATAGGAGACAGGCTTCTCAAGCTTTGCATATTTTCAAAGTACAATGATATTAAGTGTGGAGGCATATTATCCACACAAGACAAAGCAGCACTCAAGGGCAGTCCAGGACTCTCGGCCTAGGCACCTCCGTAGCTGGAAGAGTAAAGATGATACCTAACCAAGAGCAAGCAAACCACAGCCCAGCAGAGGCCAAAGCAGTGTTTGAACAGCTGAGCAATACGAGACCCGGAGAACTCTGCAAGCCAGGCGCTCTCTGGGAGCTGCTCAGCCTGCAGGCAGGGCCCGTGTTTAACCCACCTAGTAGTCCCCGCCGGGCAGTGCCAAGCAAAGATGAGAGAAGGAAGGTTGGGCCCATGGGTGGAGCCATCCCTGACCAACAGTCTGGGACAGCCTGAGGCCCCAAAAAGGGTGTTGGTACCTGTGGTTGTAAGGGGCACTGGTCGATGAGAGCAAAGCCAGACTGTCCACATCCCCCACCACGAGCAGCCAGCTCCCCAGCCAGCAGAGCCTCCCACAGGTGGCCGAGGGCCTTGGGGAGGAAGGGAAGGAAGGGGGAGCCTTCTGCAAGCCTCTGCCACGGCTGTTTTCTCACCACCCCCAGGACTGACAGAAAGCCAGGTGCTCAGCGAGGCTCTCTCAAGGACGGCTTCTCCCTACAGAGGGGTGGCATGCAACAATGTAACTGCCTCTATACAGTCGGATACCAGCGGGTTTGGTTTTTGGTTGATCTAAAAGCCCTGGTGACACAGTGGTTAAGAGCTCGGCTACCAACCAAGAGGTCGACAATTGGAATCCATCAGCCGCTCCTTGGTGCCCCACCCCCAGGGGGCAGCTCTGTTGTGTCCTATAGGGTCATTGGAATTGACTCATCAGCAATGGGTTTGGTTTGGTTGTAACTATCTTTGAGGTCCCTGGACAGTGCAAACTGTTTGTGCTTGACTACTAACCTCAAGTGTGGTGGTTCAAAGCCCCCAGTGGCACCTCAGAAGAAAGGCCTGGTGATCCGCTTCTAAAAGATCACAACCCTATGGAGCAAAGCTCTACTCTAAAACACATGGGATTGCCATGAGTCACAAGCAACTTGACAATCACTAGTTTGGTGTTTTGGTTTATCTGTCTGGGAGGCCCTTCGAGGGAATGCGCATACCCTGGAGGTATTGGCAGCGTATGGGAAAGGCCCCAGGCTTCCCATTTTACAGGAGAAAGCCGAGTGGAAGTGAGGTTAGTGATGGAGCCTGGCTGTCTCTGTGCCTGGCCCGTAAGCACCCCACCGGGGACCCCTCGGGCAGCAGGGCTGGGCCACAGCCATTCTAGCTTCCTCCACAGCGTTTGCCTGGTGTCTGCGGACAGGCCCAGAGGTGGAAACAAGAGTGTTCCTGAGGAAGGTTCTGGGCCCGACGCCCCCTCGTTGCTGTTACAGCCAGTGCAGGCTGGAGCTTCTCCTCCAGACACGTTTACCTGCTCAGCCGTCAGCCGGGACGTCCTGCAGGCCACTCAGGAGCCCCAGGGTGGGGGGAGACAGGGACCCAGCAGCTGGTCCGCTCCCTCTGCCAGCCATCTCCCAGGCCTCTCGTCTAGTGTGGAAAGCACACTTCTGTTGCCATGGAAACGCAGCAGGTCCTGGGGAACCTCCTCAGCAACCACCACTTCCCTCCTTTGTGGCCATTCACCTGCAGCCTTGAACTATCGGAGGTGCTTCGGGGACTCACACGGAGCTGACTGTGTGTTTCGTTTGTGAAGGTTCACTGAGCTGTACACTCAGGCTGTATGTCGTTGTGAGTCAGTCGACTCGACGGCAACGGGTTCGGTTTGGTTTGGATGGAGTCCTCGGATGGTGCAAACGGTTCACGAGCTCAGCTGCTCGCTGAAAGGTTGGAGGTTTGAGTCCACCCAGAGGAACCTGACGATCGGAAGAAAGGCCTGGCGGTCTACTTCCCAAAAATCAGCCATTGAAAACCCTGCAGAGCACAGTTCTACTCTGACACACATGGGGTCACCATTAGTCGACTCCACAGCAGCTGGTTTGGTTCGGATGCATATTATATTTCAAAAAAAGATTTAAGTTAAAAAACATGTATCTATGTTAACACTTTTTTAAACACACACGCTCCCGTCATCAGTAGCCAACGCTGCCCAGCGGCCAGGCCTCCAGCACAGGGGAGTCACTTTGCGCAGGCCTCAGGGACAGCTGTTCTGGGGCCTCCTTTAACAGAAGGCTGCCCAGACCGGGAGGCACCCTGCTGAAAAGAACCCGCCCCTCCCGCTGGGGCCAGCCAGGATTTCTCCCAGCACCGGAACTAATCGGATGAGGCTACAACCGAAGTCACCTCCTTATTTCACATTTGAGGCTTTTCAAATTAATCCCGTTGTTCTCATTGACCGAGTTGATAATAAGTAAATGTTATCCATTTAAATGAACCATTTATATTAATAGCATATTTCCTACTTCATATAACGGAGTTTTATACGTGATTGAAAAGGGGGATATCTTTTTTTTAAAAAAAAAGATCGGAACTACTGAGATGAAGGAAATCCCCAGCCTATAAACCGGGCACCAGATGGGTGCAGAGGACAGTGGCCCAGGCGTGGAGGTTGGAAAACTTCCGGAGAGACTTCTTCTTGAAGACCACTGATAGAGTATCTGAAGACCTTGTAAGGAGATTTAGAAAACTTGGTGGATCGTTAGGGTTTTCTTGTCATTTTCTAGGTACACAGAAGACTATTTTTTAAAACAGACGATAATGACCTCCATGCGGTGTTAGTTGCTGCGCAGCTGATTCCGGCTCAGGGTGACCCTGAGGGTTAGAATCGCTGCATGGTGGTTTCCTGGCTGTAATCTTACTCCCTGCGTGGCGCAAACGGTTAAATGCTTGGCTAGTAACTGAAAG